GGCCAGCTGACAACACCCACGAGTACCCCCAAGTCCTTTTCCGAAGGGTTCTCTCAATCCCTTTTTTCCAGAGCCTGTATGGATACCAGGGACTGTCACAGTTGAGGGCAGGACCTTGCACTTGGCCATGTTGAACATCAGTGTTCACAAAGGCCCACTTCTCGAACTTGTCCAGGTCCCTGTGCGTGGCATCCCATCCCTCAGGCATGTCAACTGCACCACTCACCTTGCTGTCATCTATAAATTTGCTGAGAGTGCACTTGATCTCACTGTCTGTGTCAACGATGAAGGTATTAAAGAATATTGGTCCAAATACAGACCCCTGAGGGATACCACTTGTCACCACTCTCCACCTGGATGTTGAGCTGTTAACCACAACCCTCTGGATGCAACCAAACAAGTAACTCCTCATCCACTGAACAGTCCCTCCATCAAATCCTTCTCTCTCCAATTTAGAGAGAAGGATATTGTGGAGGACTGTCTCAAAGGCCTTAGAGAAGTCCAGACAGGCAACATCCATAGCTCTTCTCTTGTCCACTGATATAGTCACTCCACCACAGAAGGCCCCTAGGTTGGTTAGGCAGGACCTGCCCTTGGTGAAGCCATGACAGCTTTCTCAAATCACCTCCCTGTCCTCCATGAGCTTTACCATAGCTAAGAGCATGTAGGTCTTAAAATGTTTTATTCTAAAATTGCTTCATAATCCCTACTATTCACTAGTAAGTATTTTTACATTGACATCAGTCAATCTCCTAAACGACAGAACTCATTCCATCAGTGAAATAAAAATCATGTCAAGATGGTAATTGTAACATCTTCAGTTCTTGATTCTGTTTTTGCACATGGGTCTGACAGGACAGCAATAGCCTCCCAAAGCAGCAAGCATACAATGGAAATATAACTTCTGAGAACACAGGCAGTGGATGACTTCAGATGACCCAGGGTATAAATATGATGCAGTCTTTGCAGCTGGATAAAATCAATTTTTGAGTATAACAAAGAAAACAATGTTTAAAATATTCTATATACGACAAAACCAGAGGAAATAAGAAAACATAAAAAGACAATCACTTTCAACAGAAAAAGTACAAAGAAAGGTCCAAAGGGGCAGAGCTGCTCCAGCATTCCATCCCCATTCAAGTGCACCAACCAGATCATCTTATTTATCCATCCAAGTCCTCCTTCAGCTTCAGTGGAGAAAGACAGGTGGTTTTCAGTTTGCCACCCACCAAGTTTTGCTATTGTAACTCAACAATCATAGACAGCTGTGGTAGTTTGGTCTAGGCCTTCCTTGGTGACCAGTTTGTAACCAAGGAAGGGCCCAGATTTACTCAGTATTCCCTACGATTTTTACATAAGCCAGGCTATAAGAAGAAAGGAGGAGAGAACTTCGCTCTCTTTCCTTCTGGCGGCTTGGAGGTGCAGGTTCCCTGCTGTTGAGTCTGCCCTGTTGGGGAGGGAGGCCTGGGAAGGCCTTGTCGACCTTGGGAGACGGAGGTTGCCAGCGATCGATCCAGCGTGACTTTCTGTTGTCCCAAGGAGAGTAGTAAGATAGTTTTTTGCCAATTCTTTTAGTTGCTAGATATTGGGCTACTAATCGGGATATGTATATATATATATATTTTATTTTGGTATTGTTCCTTTTCCCTTCCCCCTTCCCGTTCCCTTGTGAAACTGTATATATATTTCAATTGTATATACTTGTAACATAAGGGTAAATATATTATATATATTGCTTTAGCTGTCTCTCTCTCGTTTTGGTTTTCCTAGTTGTTTTTTTCCTTCTTCTCCCTGAGGTTTGGGGGGGTGGGGACTTCTTGTGGTAAGGTTTGGAGAGTTGGCAGGGAGCCAGCTTCAAACCATATCAACAGCAAAATAAAATGTCTTCTGTAAATGGCTGAAAAGAACAGCATCCACAGGAGTGCATGTTTCCTGCTCCAGCCTCCTGCTGCAGTGAGACTGATAATGGCAGCACTGACAGGAACAGGCTGAGCATAATGCACAGTGTTTTCTGTCTGGGGGTATTATTTTGACTGACTGCCTATGTGAGAGTCCACGAGACTGAGTACCACTGTACAGCTGTATTGGCACGTAAGCTTTGTGCATATCCTTGCTAAAGTTTAGAATAAAGTAATGATGTTAGACAGTTTCCAGAAACCAGCTTCTAAGAGTGCCATTTTGACTTAGTCCTTTTGAAATAATAAACTATACTTTCAAATCTAGTTTATGTTAACTAGAGAAAGCAAGTCTTTGACTGTATGTGCCTTCTTTTTTTAAATTCTCCATAGCAGAACTGACAAGTTCCCCCCCCCCCGCCTTCCCGATTTTTTTCTTGTAAGCATTTTTCTTTTTAGTTATGTTGTTTAAAATGCAATGTTGGCAATGAGATATTGCTAGAGGCTTTGGACTCATGCCTTCTGAAGCTTCCACTTTTCCCAACTTTTACTAGCAATAAAGAATTTGTGTCTAGAAACATGTAATTTTAATTGCAAAATTACCCCAAAAACATAAATGGAACTTAATTGGTTACAAAATAATATTTTCACATAATCAAGGAATTGTTTGAGGTATTTAAGGCATAATTTATTAGTTCTGGTTAAGGTGCACATTTTGATTCCTACAGGCAAATAACAAACAGATTAGTAAGTGTAATTAAGCAGTTTATTTGTCTGACAATTGGCAGCTAGCAGTGCAATAACTTACTTGATCAATTGCCATTTTAAAGAACATTAAAGCTTCTCATAATTATGCTATCTATATGGTATGCAGATGAATAACAATACAGCATTACCCTTAACACAAGTGATTTAATATGATGTTTCTGCCAGGTTCTCTACCTTTCTATATCATGCAAAAGGAAGTAATTACTTTTTGTACTGAAAGATTGAAGAACTGACTCCCCTTCAGATATACAAAGAATCTGACCATAGGAAGAACTACAGATGATAGCTTCTCTCAGTCCATTTTTTTCTGATACTCAAAGCCATGCACATTAGTTTTGAGAAAGAGTCACAGCTTTCCATTTAGCTCTTCAGAATTCTGCAGCTGTCAAGTGAAGACAGCCACCTGTCTCTGGGAGAAAGCTTTTCCAATTCACTACATAAAATAAAGTTCTTCTTATGTTCCTTAACTCAAATACTTTGTCAGGTAACATCAACAGTGCACAGCTCTTGGAGTCCATTTCTGTAAATAAATACCATACACATTTCAGACAGACATTACACCACAAAATATACAATGGCACATGTACAAGATCACCTTTTCAAGATCAAATGATACTTCAGTGATCCAGGTAAGGAAATATTTATCAGTCAGAAGTTCAGATAAACTACAGTACACTGACTTGAGAAGGTCAATGGAGATTGCTTTGGTTCCCTACTGTTTTACTGAAAATGCCTTGCATCCAATTAAAAAGAAAACCAGAAGAAAATATTACATTGAAATCACAAAAGCTTCAAGAAAAAAAGTGAACAAGCTAAAAAACTTAAACATAAATTCAAATGAGATATGATATACCTTAACATGCAAAGACACCTAAACACAAACACATTCAGGAAAGTTATTGCCATTTCAACTCAACATCAGTACAATTAACTACGTTCTTCTACCACTCTCAAATAATCACATTTAAAATTGATTTACAAAGAGGATTGATTTTAAAGTCTCTAGCAGAGAATCAATTCTGGAATGCTATTTTGTGCTACATGAGAAAGGTCAAAAACCTTGTTAAAATTCTAACAGAATTTAAGTTTTAATGACTGGAAACTTATGTTCTGGATCACTGACAATTAGAGAGCGGTTTCTATTTTATTACCATTTCTTAATAAGCCTATCTACAAAAGTACAGGCCTACTTGTAAGAGGCTGAATATATTTAGATTTCTAACAATGTTCTGAAAGACCTTACATAATTTGATTTTCATAATAAATATTTTAACAAGCCATACATTCCCCTTCCACACTAGGAGGTTTCAAAAAAATGTGTAGGAGCACTAAGGAAATACTACAGTTCATTCTTTGGACTCATTATTCAATTGTCAAAGCTGTGAATCACCTGTCAATTAGCTTATCTTCTACCACATTTTCTGGAAAACATAAGCAGTGGTATATTTTCCTAGATTTCTAGTACCCAAACAATCTGCTGTCACTAATGGCTTCTACTTCAAACCATCTCCTTGAAGCAGGGAAGCATTATGCTATCTTATTAATGGAGAATTCAAGGACAAAGTGAGGATAACAAATCATACAAACAAGTCTGGGGCTAAGTCATGATTTCTCACATCTCTGACTATGCCAGTTTATCCAGTAGCTCTTGCTGCTAGTAAATGCCTTTCCTATCCTTCTACTTGCATAATACAACTTCTACCAACTCTTCCCCTTCACATATCACTTACTTTCTCAGAAATCCTCCTGGTTCCTGTGAATAATCCCAGTCCCCAGATGTAGTGATGAACAGGAGAATATCCAACCTGTGGCTGGAGACTTCCCACTTCTGTTTCCCAGCACTTTGTAATGCTTACAAGTTCTAGAACAATTCAGCATTACTACAGAGATAGCTCTCTTGCTGCTTATTCAGGGTTTGCATATAAGTTTGAGATGAAAACACAAAGTTTGAGAGTCAACCAATGCAGCACATACACTCTTTGGCTATTATTAGAAATCAGTAACAGACTGCTCTAGCATTAGGTGATAATTCTCTATGGAAAAAAAAGTAAACTATCACTATGCAATCTACCTTTCAACTAACAAATTGCTGATTAATTCAATCTCTTACTGACAGTCTCTATGGCAATAATTATTCCCTGTAGCAAATAACGCCTGCAGCATTTAAAAATGTCAACCTCCTCCACCTGACCTCTCTGCTTAATAGGGATTCTGGATCTGTTCTCCTTAAAAAAACATCACAATTGCTAGAAAATTCCTCATTTATCAGTCATGATTTTACACTGTTTTCACATGTAAAAAGCACATCGCAGAGTTGCATTGCTGTATAGTACATACCCCATGTTCTTTAGCAGCCATAACCACTTTTGAAAGAATATCTTCTTCTACAAATGGCCTCACAGCATCATGGATAATCACTACTTCTGGTTTCTGGAACAGATGGCTGGAAAATTGCTTCTCTGCAAATACTTTCAGTCCATTGAAAATTGACCGATGACGAGTTATTCCACCTTCTACTACTGTAACTCTTTTGTGGCCATATTTTTCAATGATAGTCTTCATTGTTTCAATATTTTCAGGAGAGACCACCACAATAATGTCAGATATCCAACTTATCCTAGAAAAAATAGTACAAAACCACAGAAAGTAGATATGAATGACTAAATAAAAGTAGAGGTATGTGAAACAAAGAAACTCATAACAAAAATTCAAGATGGCTAAATAAAGCATCTCTCAGCATACTCAAGCCCATGTTTTCATAATCCAGTCCTAAAAGGAAAGATATTACAGAGGATTTCTACCAATACATGGATACCAACCAACAAAATTGGAGTTCTGGGAATGGACTTGCTTCCAACAGCCACTTTGCAGAAGGGCACCTTCTGATAACCCTTCCAAAAGCCTTCAAAGCATTTCTTACTCCAGCCTCATTCCTAGCTTCAAACGGAATTTCTAAATCAATCAGTTACAGTTTATTAATCAGTTTCAAACAAACTGGTAAATCCTGGGACCTGGAATACTCCATGTTCCAAAGAAGTACACTATGTACAAAAAAAAAAGAGGACCAAGAAAAATTCTGAAACTAAGTTCACTATAAAGACAATCATGAGTAGTAATTGACAGATTCCTAATGAATTCATGATACTGTAACACTTGAATATGGACAGGAAATATTATACTGGTAGTTTGAAAAAAAAAATATATACACACACAAATGTTTCTGCTCTAGTACTCTAGGAAGCCAGAAAAATCTAAAAACATAGCTGTGCTAGGTAAGATTACAATAACATCAAAAGCATATTTTTAGAGAACTTCAAGCTGTTACTATTGCTATCTGCCTAGGTCTACAATAGAGAGGGCGTCGGGGGGGGACGACAATGACCCACAAACCACAAGACAAAAAACAATCATAACTGAAGCAAGGCTAAAGTCATACTTGTGTCAAAGGACCTAGGAATACAAATTCAAGTCACACATGCATACCGTTCTTCAAAAAAAAAATGGAAACACCACAATTCAAATCCATTTTAGTGTCCTATTTTCTAAATGTTATGTAGAAAACATTAAAAAAAAGTGTCTCCACAGATGGCAGAGAAGTTTCTTAGCATGTCAGACAAGAAACTCATCAGATGAGCAACGATTAAAAAAAAACCCACTTACTGTGTTAAAATTACCTACATATCCAACTAAGGAGAGAGACAAGTATTATATGCTCTCTCAAGTAAAACTAGTAAAGCTATTGAAACCAGTTTTGTAGACAAAACAAGAATAAAGGTACTAAGTATTTCCAGTTAGAAAAATAAGTGTAAGAAATTTACAGTTCAGAACTACACAGGCTGAAGATACCGGTTTCTACAATAACACATGAGAAAGCATTGCCTAGAAACTACCCTTACACCAAAAGAAAAGTCATCTGTGATACAAACGAGTCCCCCAGAGCTATGAGAAACAATAGAACATCTTCCACCTTACGTATGGGTTTGGTTTTTTTGTTTTTGCAATTGATAAAACTCCATGGAAAATCATTTCAATTAATTTTAAAATAACTGTTAAAAATAAAATAAATGGAAGTGCTATTAGCATTCTTCAAAAGAAAAATATTTGTCCTCGAGTTCATTTTATTATTAACAAAGGCAGAAAATACAGACAAACTAACATATTCTCAGCACTTTTAAAGTATCAAGTTGTTCAAATGTAAAATCTTAACCATATGGTTTCAAGTTTCATTTCAACTTGTCACTCACCACAGGTTCAAAGGTTTTAAAAACCTCTGAAATTAGTTCTGGCATAATCTTACATTTAGCCACAAAACGTAGCATCTCTGCATGACTTAAACTTAGAACTAGAGCAAAGTAACTGGATTCATCTCAGTTCTTTTGAATATCGAGAGTCAATAATTTAAATAAAGCAAAATTCAAGAAGAGCTATTTCACACTGAATGAAAACAAGAGCTCTGCACTTCTATTTGCAGAACAACTATAGCCTTACACAGTAGCCAGAAACAGTGGACATTCTGCAAATTCACTAGCTCTGCATAAGAAAAGCACTGACATTTCCCTTTCTGCAGTTAAATGAAACAGATTATGAGGCAACTGGGTAGCACACAGCATCTTCCAAAAAGACAGGAAGAGAGCACAAGTACTGGCCAGCCTATGATAAATCTCTGCACAGGGTGGGTGGAATGGCTCAAGGTCTCCAGTGGGGTACAATATACCAAAAAGTGACAGGATGCGGTCACAGCTCCACCCTGTGTCTGCATAAACACATTTGTAAACTTGAGTATGTCCTCCCTAAATTCATTCCAGACTCATATTCTACAATTAGAGCTGGGATTTAGCAATGTAACCTATTCATATGAGAGTATAAAGTCATCCACTAGGCTGATTACGTACCAGAACAGCTTGGGTTTTGTCCCACAAAAACTCATAGAAAGTACTAATCCAGTAAAGTATGCTACAAAAATTAATGAATAAGAACAGTGCATCACACGGGTGCTTGCTCCTTTAAAGATCTGCTTATGGAAATGTTGCAAATGTTTTAATGAAGTAAAAAGTTATCAGTATACACTCAATCTGTCAGTAAATGAATCTTTTTTTCCTCCCTCAATTTGTCACATCATCTTCTTCAGAAAGATTTCACACTAAAATAACAAGCAGCTCAGGACCTGCTCAAATCCAATTTAAAAACACCATTTCAATTTTATAACTGTAATATTAGATCAAGATAACACAAGTTTCAGCAAGAATCAGTACAATGTATGAATAAGATCATAATACTGTACCCCAATCTGCTTAAACAATACAGAACTCTAGCGCTTCCATACAACATAGGCTGTAGTTCCGAAGTGGAAAATCAGGTCTGACCAGATGAAACGCAACTACTCCAGTTATAATCACTTTAAAACTGCCTTAGGAAGACCTAAATACTAGCAGAAGGAAAACAATGAAGCAGAAAAGTACTATATGTTTGTTTTCTGCAACTATACTTCTCGTCATCATCTACAAACAGACCTACTGCCTGCTGGAAAATAGTATTATTTCATTAAGTTTCAAAAAAAAGTACAAACATTTATATTAGTCCACCTAGAATTCAAAGTAAAGGAGCTCATTAACTCAGCAGCAGATAAAGTTATTACATGACTTCTCAACACAAGCTGCAGAAGAAATTAAACAAAACCACTTTGAAACTGTATCACCTAAATGGCATGCTGAGGTATCCATGTGAATGAGGTTCAACCCTCCGTCAGTTAACTTGCATACAACCAGTGCTGAGCCTGAAATTTGACATCAGGCTTAAACACTCACACTCAATCTCTTGTAACTCTCATTCTGCCAGTAACAAACTATTCAATACAACATATCAAAATCAGCAAAACAAGGCCAGAACCAGGCAGTCACTGCTGAGACGGCTTTAGCAGTGTTATACGGGATCTTTCACTGACACAGAAACTTTTCAGAAGTGCAAGATATATCATTATATCACTTTTGCTGGTCTTATTATTCAAACACCAAATTAGAAAAAGAACTATCAAAAACAACATGCATTTGCAGAATGCAAGCATAACTTCCTTTTGCTCCATAGCAGCTTTGTTATGACTTTATTGGTATATGAAAAATTGAATCTTTTACAGTACAAAAATGGAAGCAGGAAGCTCTTAAGTCTGGTATATTAAGGAAGTTTGGAGGATCTTATATACAGAAGCCATTCATTTTTTCTGGAAATAAAATGCTCCTTATGAGTCAGACAAAATAACAAAGATATGTTCATAAAGTTTGCTATCATTATTTTTAGCTTATAAGCTATTTCAAGAATAAGCTAATGATAACCGGACAAAAAGAACTAGTTTTGCTCACCTCCTCTCCTAAGGGCATCAGCTATGATTATTATTGGCAGGCCAGTGTTCTACATGCTATCATTCTATGCAACAGGATTCACTGCTTATTCATTCATGTCTGCTCTTGTCTCATCTACCCATTTTTCCATATTGATATTTAAGATTCTCACTACTTTCAGCTGAACAGCATAAAGATCTTTTTCTACCAACCTTTAAAAAGCACATGCAAAACAGCTGCACATCCTTGAACTGCTCATGTATTCGTCTATATATTACTACCTTTATTCCAGATTAAAAAAAAGCTTAAAAATAGCCGCATTAGCTGAGGTAATCAGTTCAACAGAAATTATTATAGGCTAATGGGTCAATGATTCATTCAATTACATCAGGTCAACAACAGACATCAGAAGATAGTATCAAGCTTAACACAAAACCTGCCACTTCTGGGTGACAGATTATGAGACAAATTACAGTTCCTCAGTATCAGATTTTTGCTCTTACAGTCTCACAAAGTAAGAACAAGGTACATCCTTTGTAGTTTCAAAGCCGGAAGTGAAAGTGTTGAAAGTGAAAGCCATTCCAAGCTTTGGAGTACAAGGGTTCCCAGCTCCTCATACACATCTATACCAGTCAACAGTCTACTGAACACTCCAGCTCAGTAGAGATGGCAGGCAGCTCTGCCTGTCAGAGCCCTGGCAGTGGTTATTCCACTACTAAGCAAAAGCACCAAGTTGTTACTCTCACAATCAGCTTGGCTGGACCGTACAATTAGAATTCAACTTTCTAATTTTTTGCAGCTTTAGGACATGAATATAATTCTGTTGCTCGAAGTGCAGCTATTTTCTCAGAGCTTACTGGCAGTAAATATAAAGGGGTTCTTTAGATGAATACTACTTATTTTCCTATGAATATCATTTCCTTCCCAAACCTCACTCTGTTCTTGCTTCCAGGTTTCCAATACAGGGAGGGAGGACATTATTCTTCTCTGTAGATTCTCATGACATTTTGGCAGAAATTACAGCTGGGGCAAGCTTTGGATCGGAGGTTTTGCTTACTGATGTGCTTACCTTTGTGACTGGCTGCTGTTGAAAATTAAATAAACAAGAAATGTTTCTTTCGTAAAGTAACAAGTGACCTGAGGGAAGCCTCTCTGGGTGGGAATGGAAAAAGAGTCACAATTTTGATGTTCTACAAGTTTCCATGAGTTAAGAACTCTGAGAGATGCTGGCAATTTCATTTCTTGCACCAAACTCCACTCCTCCCCATTTATCCTCTCTAAAAATCTAAAGGTTTGTTTTCCTAAAGTTACTGCAACACATTGCTTGCAATTAATGTGGATAGAGCCTTCCTAAATCTTCGTTTGCAAAGCCTAGCCATGATGATACTGCAACACATCCAGAATACACTCCTACCCACTGTGTTTCATGTGACACTACAAAGAAGACTTACATTATATTAACATTTGACAGTAATATATTAACTGTCAGTCACATGCTTAGAACTCAACAGACTTATGAAAAGGAAAAAACCCTGGCTGCTAATAGATCCCATTACTTGAATCCTTTGCTCTAACACAGAATCACATAATGTTAAAGATTGGACGGGACCTTAAAGATCATTTAGTCCCAACCCCCCTGCCATGGCCTCCCACTAGACTAGGTGGCTCAAGGCCGCACCCAAGCTGGCCTTGAGCACTGCCAGGGCTGGAGCATCCACAACCTCCCTGGGCAATCTGGTTACCACTTTAAGAATGACAAATTTATTCCTAATATCTAACCTAAAATTCCCCTTTCAGTTTGTACGTCTTATTCCTCGTCCTACCACTACAACACAGCCATAGAAAAGTTACATGTGCAGCTTCATGCTACATATGCTTCCAGTCCAGCAACTATGACTTAAACAAACCTTTCTGCTTTAAGCCTCCTGCTGATGCGAGGTGTTTTACCATGGCCAGCGGCGAAGCACAATGCAGTGCTATACACCACTGAGTGCATTCACCTCACCATGAGGAGTGGATCTTTTTTAGAGGCCTCTGGACACTACTATAAGGACCATCTCCAACGGCTATGGCAGCACAGATCTTTTCTCAAGGCTGATGAGTAGCATTATGACTGTCTCCAGCAACTGCGGTCGGCTCGCAGCTCACCAAACCAGCCACTGCAGCTACAGCAACCCTCGAGCTTCGAGGCTGAAGGGGCCTCGAACCCATGATCTCCGACATCCATGGAATGTACCACAGCTTCGAGGCACGGGCAGGGCTGTGGGGGGAGAGCAGAGCCGCCCGGGATGGCGGTCCGGGGGCCAGGCTGGGCTGGGGGAAGCGCCCAGGTCCCGCCTGGTACCTGTGCCCAGATGAGCGGGCCAGTCACACCTCGTTCCCTGCCCCGCTGTTGCTCCCTGCATGGTCTAACCGGGCGGGGAGGGACGGGGAGACACCGCAGCGCAAACCAGACCCGCCCAAGGCCTGCGGCGAGGGCAGCGCGACTGCCGGCGGCTCCCCAAGGACCGGGGCAGGGCTAGGGCCGGCCGGGGCCGGCGGGGCGCGGTCGGGGAGCCGGGCGGCGCCGCCTCGTTACCTCTCCATGGCCCGCACCGCGTAGCTGACGAGCGGCCTCCCCTGCACGGCGCAAAACTGCTTGGGAGTGGCGCCTCCCAGGCGCTCTCCGCTCCCGCCCGCCGGCAGCACGGCAGACACCGACACACCGCCGGGCTCCATCTGCGCGGGG